GCCCATCCAGTGCCACACCTGCCATGGCAGGGACCCCTTCCACTGTCCCAGGCTGCTCCAAGCCCTGTCCAGCCTGGCCTTGGGCACTGCCAGGGATCCAGGGGTAGCCACAACCTCCCTGGGTAACCTGTTCCTGCATCTCGCCACCCTCACAGGCAGGAATTCCTTCCCAATATTCTAACCCTACCCTCTGGCATTTTTAAGCCATTCCCCCCATCCTATACTACATCCCCTTGTCCAAAGTCCCTTTCCATGCACCTCCTGAGCCATGTGCAGGACCCCAAGGCAGGCAGGAGAAGGGGTTGTGTCTCCGGGCTGGGAAGCCCTCAAAACATGTGAAAAATCAAACTCTGGGAGTTGCTTATCTCTTACACCATCCTTGCTCTTCACTTTAATACCTCGGGGCTCCCCTCCCGAGAACAGCTGTTGAGAGATTTGCAGCAGCAGGAATGTGTCATCTGCACCCAATGATCCAATAGTCCTAACAATTGTGGGTATTATTTCTCTTAAATCTACCCCTTAATCCTATAATGCCATAAAATACCACTGAATCAGAGCTTAGCAGGATTCCAGAAAAGAACAGACTTTTAAAGAGATAATGAGAACTCCACATTTATGTTGGATAGGATTGAAAGGAGAGGGGAGGATTGAATGGGGGAGGCAGAATGTACCAGATGGGCAGATTATTTCATAGTTTCCCTTAATATGATTTCTTCAACCTGAAGCATCTGGTAATTCCACTATCAGAGATTAGATACTGGATAAAATGGACAGGCAGGCTGATCTAACAAAGCAATTTTATTTCCTGGCTACACATAGGAGAGGTTCCCATTAAATCCTGTATCACAGGATAAAACAGAGGTGCATAAAAATGTTGTATCCAAGCAGGGAATGTTTGCAAGCCCTGGCATCCCATGTAAATATGCTTCACTTTCAATATAGAAAACAACACATCTCCCAAACCCCCATCCTCCCCAGGCAGGCAGCGAGTGCTGGGAATGGATAAACAATAAAACTCACACAGCAGCCTTCTCCTTCAGAGGCTTTTGCAGAAAATTGAGAAAATCTCTCCAGCTCATTTTTGTGAAGATTTGTGAAGAAGTCCTGCAGGCTGCAGGCAGCACCTTGGGTACTTCCAATCTGGAAGCTGAGATTGTTTTCCAGAACATGCAGGAATCTCATCCTAAAGCCAAAAACCCCAATCAAGCGTGACAGGCATGTGTTCCCAGTGCCCTTCTCATTGTGGCACTGCTTGGCAGCAAGTTCTGGAATAACTCACCCCAAAACACCACTCCTGCCTATTTTAGCCCAAGGAAGAGCTTTCCCAGCCATCCCAGCAGGAATCTGATACCTGGTTCACTGGAAATCTCGTGCACAGCCAGCACAGCCTTTCCTGCTCAGCACAGGGCTGGGATCAGGGTAAGGTCCAGGAGTGGCAGGCACAGCTCCTGCTTGGAACCAGCTCCACACAGGTCAGACCAGACCTCTGGCACCACTGGGAGTCAGCCCAGGACAACCCCAATCCCTCAGTGGGGAACAGCAGGGAAGAGTTTCTACCCCACAGCCCAGGTGAGCAGCCCCAGCAGCAATGGGGAAAGGGGAAAGCAGAAAGGAGGAACAGGGAAGGGGAAAGAGGAGAGGGGGAAAGGGAACAGGGAAGGGGAAAGAGGAGAGGGGGAAAGGGAACAGGGAAGGGGAAAGAGGAGAGGGGGAAAGGGAATGGGGAAGGGGAAAGAGGAGAGGGGAAAAGGGAATGGGGAAGGGGAGAGAGGATGAGGGAAGGGGAAGTAAACAAAGGAAAGGGGAAAGAAGGAAGGGGGGATGGGAAAGGGAAGGGGGAAGGGGAAAGAGGATGAGGGGAAAAGGGAATGGGGAAGGGGAAAGAGGAGAGGGGAAAAGGGAATGGGGAAGTAAACAAAGGAAAGGGGAAAGAAGGAAGGGGGGATGGGAAAGGGAAGGGGAAGAAGGAGAAAAGGGAAGGGATAAGGGAAGTAGAATAGGAAAGGGGAGAGTGGAAAAAGGAAAAGGGAAGGAGGAAAGAGGACAGGAGAAAGAGGAAGGGGGAAAGGGAAGGGATAAGGGAAGAGGAAAGGGAAAGAAGAAAAGGAAAGGGGAAGGAAATCATTCAACTAAAGCAAAGATGATAATCCAGACTACCAGAAAGTGACACCATAATTCCCCAAATCAGGGCAAACAAGGTATTCTGCCACAGCTCCTGGTGTTGGGAAAGACCTCACCTTCTCCTGAACATCATCCTCACACCTCTGGGACCATTTTCCCAGGGAAACTCCCTCCTTCCTCTGCCTCTGGGCAGGACTTAGAGGCCCTGAGCTGCGAGCTGGACTGGCTCCTCCTCACCAACAGCTCCTGAAATCCCTTGGAGCAGGGATATCTGAGTCCCTGAACCCTCGGTGGTGCTGACCACGAGGTGCAAGGAGCCTGGAGACACAAAAATACACACAAAATGTGCCAAACTTCCCCATAACCCTCCTTGCTCCACTTCCCTTTGGCCACAGGCACAAGAAAGGAGAAGGAAAAGGCCTCAGAGCTCTGATGCAGTTTTGCTCAGCACTTAGGGCAGTGCACTTCACCACATGAATCTTTCCTTAAAAACAGGGAAAACTGAGAGGAAAGGCTGGGGAGTGCCAGCCTGTGCCAGGACCAGTGCCAGTCCATTGGCATTCCAGACACTCTGCAGCCTTTAGCTGAACCACACAGTTTCACCATTATATTTAAAACTACTACATGCTTTGTAATGCTTATCAGCTGGAGGGTTTTCAACCGTTTTTTCCCCACTAATGCTGCAATTTCAAAGCCATTTAGGCTAATTTCCCTTGACTTGAATCTATTTTAATCAGAGACCAGGATACTTGACTTAAATGGTTTGTGTTCAACCCTTCATAAAATCAGCCATAAAACTTTATGCACTAAATAGCGAGGGAACCTTGAAGCCAGAGGTAGGAAGAGGTGAAACTTTCTAAATTCTCAGCAAACTCCAGCCTATTACACACAGACCAACTGTCCTCTTACAATATCAAGCCAATTGATCCCCAAAACAAAAAGAAAACCAATAAACAGAATGCACTCCTGAAGTTCTTACACAGATAAAAAGCACTAAGTTGTTCAGCTGCACTCAGTACCCACAAATTCCCTCCCAGGTCTCAGCCCAGCTCCAAACTGAAGCATTTTTAATGCTGTGCCCTGTCCTCTCCCCCACTCTCCCATGGAATGATGGATAGTGGAACTGAGGAAAAATACAACGCAAGCCTGAAAATGTCAGAATTAATCCTTTTCTTCCCCCAAAATCTGAAGAGAAACATTACTTCTCAAATTAATTCTCGCCAAGTAACGCTGGCTCTGCTGGAAGTCAGAGCTGGGGATGAGAAATGGAAATCAGCAGCTCAGCCTCAGGTAAGTGCTGGAGAAGGTCTCGCTCCAAGGATCCAGCATTGTGCTGGGATTTGCATATCTCAGAGGCAAAGGTGCAATTTGTACCTGCAATTCAGCCTGGCAGAGGAGCTGCAGCAGCACAATGCAGCCTGGGCCTCCATTCCTTTGGAAACTCATCCAGGGATTTCTGTTGTCAGTGGTTGACAGCCCTGGATGCTCCAAGGGGCTGCGTGGAATTCAGGCAGCACCCAGAGAGGTGAAAGAACAAGAGCTGCTCCCCCAGCCTGGACAGCCTGGAGCTCTGGGGACAGAGGGAACAGGAGCTGCCCCTGCTCCCCCAGCCTGGAGCTCTGGGGACAGAGGGAACAGGAGCTGCCCCTGCTCCCCCAGCCTGGACAATCTGCCACCACCTGACACACAGAGCTGCATCCCTGGCTGCACGGTTTTCAATGCTCTGCAGATGCCAGGCAACATCTCTGTCACTGCCCCAATGACACAGGCATTGGACACGGATCTTTCACAATCTGAACCTCTCTCAGCTCATTTTTTTATCAGGGATTTCACTCCAGGCCTGGACAAACTGACACTTTTCTATTTTGAGGAACACTCTGGCAGCCATATCTAAAATTAACCTTCACAAAGATAAACTTGCAGAGTGTCTTTCCTCATCCTCTTAACAAAATGATGTGTCACCTCTTCTAAAGCCTGTTCTCCTGCGCTGCTTGGCAGGTAAACATCACCAGCACCTTAAAAGCTCAATCAAAAAAGGAGAGGAAGGATATTGCCACTGTAGAAACTCCCGTTAAAGGCCCAGATCTCCAGTGGGAGATCCCAGAGTGTCCCTGGAGGATTCCTGTGCTGGGAGGAGCCTGAGGACAGCCCAAGGGCCCTGGAGGTCCTGCAGGGATGTGAAGGAGCTGTCAAGGAGGGAGGGAGGGAGGGAGAATCTCTGCACTTTTACAGGGTATTAAACACCAAAAGCTCAGTGAAAGCAGAGCTGAGCTTCTGATGGCATCACCTCCACCCAGAGTCATGGACTGCTTCAGGAAAACAAAGACAGGCTGGGAAGAAATTCACTTTTTTCCCCTGATAAATCATCTTGGTGAACTCCCTCACTCTCTCCAACTACCTGGAACCAAGGTGGGGCCAGGTGAGGATCAGTTTCTTCTCCCAGGTACCAGCTGACAGGACAAGCAGGAACAGCCTCAAGTTGTGCCAGGGGAGGTTTAAGTTGGATGTTAGGAAATATTTCCTGACAAAAAGGGGGGTCAGGCCCTGGCACAGCTGCCCAGGGCAGTGCATCCCCACCCCTGTAGAGGTTTAACAGCTCTGTTGATGTGGCACTTGAGGACACAGGTGAGTGGTGGCCTTGGCAGTGCTGGGGAATGGTTGGACTCAATAACCTTTGAGGCTTTTCCAACATCGGTGGTTCTGTGACTCCATGAGCTCATTCCAGCCCAGCCACCCCTGTTTCTCATCACTGAGCAGGGCCCTGTGAACAATGAGGGAAGAGCCAGCAGCACCAAACTTGACTGGGAAAGCAGCAGCACTCCTGGCTCTGGGGTGACTCCTGGACACAAACATTCCCTCCTGGAGCCCCTGGCACTTACTTGGTGGGGCGATAATCCGGGATGGAACGATCCAGGGAAATCTTCTCACTGAGGTAGGAGTTGTAGCCATACTTCTCGTGGGGTCCCTTGGCTTTCTCCTCCTCCTCGGGGGACAGGGTGGCTGGGAGGCCACCCTTGCCACGGCCACCATAGCCCTCAATGAGACCAAGGGACTTGGAGAGACCTGGGGGAAAACAAAAACAACATCTCTAGTAAAACGTATCATTGGTAAAAACCCATCATTGCTAAAAACCCATCATTGCTAAAAACCCATACCTGGTAAAAACCATCCCTGGTAAAACCCATCCCTGGTAAAACCCATCTCTGGTCAAACCTATCTCTGGTAAAACCCATCTCTGGTAAAACCCATCATTGCTAAAAACCCATCCCTGGTAAAACCCATCACTGGTAAAACCTATCTCTGGTAAAACCCATCTTTGGTAAAACTGATAATTGGTAAAACAACTCATCATTTGTAAAACCCATTTTTGGTAAAAACCCATCCCTGGTAAAACCCATCGCTGTTATTTCCAACTCCCAAGGAAAGAAAATACTCTAAAAATCCTGGTTGTTTTGGTCTAGTAAAACTGATAATTGGTAAAACAACCCATCATTGGTAAAACCTATCCCTGGTAAAAACCATCCCTGGTAAAAACCATCCCTGGTAAAACCCATTGCTGTTATTTCCAACTCCCAAGGGAAAAAAATACTCTAAAAATCCTGGTTGTTTTGGCTTCCTGGCTGTTTGGGTTGGTTTTCTGCAGACATTTCATGTCCTCCTTCTTTGGCCCAATGCTGGAATAAAAATGACTCAAGTCTTGCAGTTCCTCACGGCTCAGGCACTCTGCTCCTGCCAGCCCTGCCCCTGGCGTGCAGCTGATAACCTGTCCCAGGATCTGTGCATTTATTGAGTTGGTGGGGAGGTTATTCAGGCCTCCTTCCCACTCTCGGAGAGGTAATTACATGGAAGGTTAGATGTCCCCAGGAGAAGGATAGGTTGAACACAGAGCAGGAATAAAACAGGCTTGGTTAAGTGCCAGCTGAATGAATTTTTGCTCAGTGTGAACAGTGAACAGCATACAAATGGTAGGGATTTAAAAACAATTTCCCCTCAAACCTTTCTTATCTTTTAAAGTACAGTGTTCCCAGACCCTTATCAAGGGGAATTATTTATTTATATCTGCATAGCTGAATGAAATAGGCAAAGTTCAAAATGAGCTGCACATAAAGAGCTCCATGGATGATTTGGTGGTGGCAGTGAGAAGCCAAGTCCATGCTCATGTTATTATTATTTATTAGACAGAACACCTGGAATTTAAATATTTTTCATTAGCAGAGATTCACTCCTTTTGTCAGAAACACAAAAATAATAATGATGGATTTTGGTTTGCTTTTGTGTCTGTTTGGTTTTGTAATACTGAAAGACAACAGGGTATATTCCCATTGTTTCAAAGGCAGAGCCCTGACTGAAAACAGGACAGATTTTGTCACCTCTGAAGCTTTTGAAGGGACAATAACCTTGAGGCTGATCCAGCTCCCAAACCTACCACTGACTTCCATTGTCCTGGACAAAACGTTCCTGCCTGCCCACAGATTTAAGTATTTTTTTCCTCTAAAAGTAGCATTGAGAGACAGGAAAAAATGAGCTGGGAGTGTAAATCACAGTTGGAAGAACAGTTTGAAGAATTATGATTATTACTACTGTTATTATCATCATCATCATCATCATTGTTGTTGTTATTCTGGGGAGTAGTATTCCTTCTGACAAGGAAGTCCTCAACATCCTTCCCTGCTCTGTGAGAGCCCCTCTGACCACACTGGGCTTGATTAGATTTTATCTGAGGACAATAACAACAAATCAGCTGCCAGGAGCCCCAGGCTGTGATCACACATCCAGGCTGCCTTTCCCAGCTCCAGGCTGAGCAGGAGCCAGGGGATGACTCAGGAAGGCTGGCATGGGTGGCACTTTGTGGCCTGCAGAAGCTCAGCAGATCACTCCATGAACTTCCCAGCCCCAAGAGGTTCCATTCCAGGAACCCTCAGCATCTCCCAGTTTGCTTTTAAAGCTTAATTTTGCTTTTCTTGCTTCATTTGAACACATTTCTCCCTGCCCCAGTGCTTTTGCTTTCTGTGCTTTGAAGCCACACTCCTGTGAGGAGGGACGTGGGGATTTTCTGATTTCATCCCACTCAGTGGGATGTGGGAACCATGGACATCCCAGCACCTGGCTCAGTAGAAGCAGGCTGTAAAATCACAAGCTCAGGTTATTACCAGCAGCTAATAACAGATCATTAACTCAGACACCAAGGCAGTGCTTGTCCCAGAGCTTCACACTTGAAGCCAGCAGGGAAGGATGATACCCCAAGGCCAATCCATCCCCCACAAGATCCCAGCCAGTCTCCAGAGGTTCTTACCCTGGCTAAGGTGAGGGATTTGTGCTCCCAAGCACAGCAGCTCAGTGAAGGACCTGGAATTCGAGGTGAGGACCCTCCCACAGTGCTCAAAATGTCAGATCCCAGCACTCATTTGTCTCTGCTCACTCAATTTATGCACATTCTGTCTTTATATTACTTAAAGTTGGTAAATGCTGATAAACCAACATCATCTAACCAAAGAAATCAATCAAATGGATCCACTTGTGTTGGGCAGGGCACACCATGAGCCCTCCATGCTGCCTTGCAGGAGAGCACCTGCAAGGAGAGTCCTGGAGATGAGTACTGCCAGGTGGGGTGGGCAGGCAGGATCCCCTGTCTGTCCCTGGGCTGGTTCAACATTTCCTCTCCAGCCCAGGCTGTTGGGAGGGTTCAGGAATGTCACTCTGGTGTGTGGCACTCCAAGCAAGAGTGAAGAACATTTGTCAAGGAAGACAATTCATGTCCAAACAGAAGAGGAAAGAATTTGTTTCCAGCTGGCTGGAAAGGTGCCGCAGGAGGGGCAGAACTGAACACAAATGGTGACAGCACATCCTCATCCAGTCCATCCATTCACTGGCTTTTATTCACCACATTTTTGGGCACCTTTCTGTGAACTTGGGGTACCTTTGCTGTGACTTCAGGAGTTGACCTGAGCCCACCCATGTGGCTGTTCAGGATATTCTGGGATTCCATGAAACCTGATTTGAATTGGCCTGAAAGGGCCAGAAGTGACACACACAGACAGCATGAGCAAAAAAGGGAAGGAGCATGGTGCCACCAGCTCATTTCCCCAAAAAAAGGTTGAAAGCAAAGAGTCAGGACTGTTCTCAAATCACAGAACAAATCCTTTATCATTCTGGGCAGGCTCAAAGCAGAAGTGCTGAACCTCTGCCAGAAAGTCTCTCCTGATGCCTGCTCCAGCCTACCTGTAGTGATAAACAGCACTAATCCCCACAAAAATCTTGATCTTTGGAGTGGATTCAGCCCCTAGGGAATTCTGCAAGCTCAGGAGATGGGCTGCATGGAGATGAGGTGTTGGTGCAGATCAGAGCTCTGAGCAGCCACAAGCTTCACTCATCCCAAAGCCACACTCACCCAAAGCTAAAACAGGAAATTTTTTTTCAGAATCTCCAAAAAATTGTGAATTTTGGAACAAATGGAATATATTGCTATTGTACTACAGGAATAGAAGGAAAAAGAAAAAGCAAGATACCACGTGGAGCTGCCAAGATCTGAGCCCCTCCTGCTGGAACAGCCAGACAGGGGATCCCTGGGGACTGGCAGGAGTTGGTTTTCTTCAAGATGATATAAAAATTTAATCTCTACAGCAAAATTATTCCTAGACTGAGCACAGTTAGAGTAAATATATTAGTCTCTTCTTAAGCTGAGTGTATTTCAGAAGGAGGCAGGAGTTTTCTAGGACAGAGAAAACCTTTAGTGAAATACAATCTAATGTGATTTGCAGCCCTCATTTCCAAAGGCTCCCCGGGAGCTGGAGGGGGGGAAAAGCTTTTTGCTCCGTGTCAGCCTGGATGAAGGAAAACATTAACCCTCCCATACAACCCTCAGCTGAGGAAATTTGTGATGGGGGGGGGCTGGGGAAGAAGGAAGAGCCCGGAAATGAAAAGACATTTTTGAGAAATGGATGCTGAGGGAAAACAACATCAACCTTGCAGTGCCTGAAGGGGTCCCGGGGGGCTGGGGAGGGACTGGGGACAAGGGATGGAGGGACAGGACACAGGGAATGGCTCCCACTGCCAGAGGGCAGGGAGGGATGGGATATTGTGCAGGAATTGTTCCCCTGGAGGGTGGGCAGGCCCTGGCACAGGGTGCCCAGAGCATCCCTGGATCCCTGGCAGTGCCCAAGGCCAGGCTGGACAGGGCTTGGAGCAGCCTGGGACAGTGGAAGGTGTCCCTGCCATGGCAGGGGTGGGATGAGGATGGGATGACATTCAAAGTCCCTTCCAACCTAAACCATTCTCGATTCTAATATAGGAAAGATTTCTGAAATTTTTTTTAGCTGCATCTTTCCATATCTGTATCTCGTGCAGCACGAGGTACAGAACACACACAGCTCAGGGTGGAAGCCACATTCCAGCAGGGAAGAAGAACCTGAAGCCCCCCTTCTCCAGAAGGAATAAGTAATACTGAAATGGTACTGGAAAACACGGGAACCGTAAAAAAATAGATATCTCTGCAAAGCACAGCTCTTACTCAGTGAAGCACAGTGGATTTTTCAGCCCCAAGAGCTCTCACAGGGATGTTTGTTCCTGGCCTACATCAGCCAGAGAGCTGAAGGCCAACAGGGAATTTCTGACCTGGGGAAAAACCAAACCGAGGAGGTAAATGGCCAGTGTGGAGTGTGTGACCTGCGGGGGAGCCAGAGAGAGGGGACACCCAGAGGGGCTCTCAGGGCACTGTGTGAGGAACCAGAACTGCTACAAGGGGCAGTGTCCCAGGGAATGCTGGAAATTCTGGGGACTGCTGAAGCCTTCAATGCTGTCCTGCTGATCACTGCAAACACAGACTATTAAAGGGAGGGCTCATTAACAAAAGGGGGATTGACAAAGAACAGGCACCAGCTTTCCTTTGCAGCCCTGGTGGAACCTGGGACATGGGATTTTCTCTCCTTGCAGCAGTTTTTACACAATTTTAGCCAGATTTGCTCAGAACTGTTGTTATTAGGGTAAATAACTCCCATTTCTCTGGCTGTTGGCTGCACCTGTGGAACCCTGTGCTGCCACAGGGCTGTGGGAACTGTGCAGGGATT